AAAGCACTGCCTAACTTGGAAGGAACTGGAGAGCAAGATGTTAAGTGAAGTAACTCAGTACCATAAGGAAAAATACTGTATAAGACCATTATTGTAGAAATAGATAACTAGTAAAAAGTGAATGAGGATCCAAGTGAGGGAAAGTGGGAACAGAGGGGTGAGGATGGGTGGGAGTGTTGTGGTAATCACAGGGTTACACATTTGATGGGTGGACGGAGGGGTGGATAAAGGAAGTAGGAAAGATCTAGTGTGAAAAACAATGTATATGCACTTTGTAAGTAAACCAGTATAAAATAAAATTTAAAAATATTTTTAAAAAACCACACAACAATCATAATGAAGGAAGTTAAAGCTTCTCTGAAGGAATTTGAAAAAAAAAGAGGCCCCAGGAATTAATGGCATACCCATTGACATATTTCAACAACAGATGCTGCTCTGCACATGCTCACAAGGTTGTGCCAAGAAATCTGGAGGACCTGCCTAACTGACTGAAAGAGATCCATATTTATTCAGATTCTAAAAACAGGTGGAAATTATAGAACAGTATCACTAATATCACACACTAGCAAAATCCTATTGAAGATTATAAAAAGACGATTGGAACAATATATATTGACAGAGAACTACCAGAAATACAAGCTGGATTTAGAAGAGGTCATGGCACTAGGGACATTATCACTAATATCAGATGGATGGTGGCCAAAAGCAGAGTACGAGAGGGATATCTATCTGTGTTTCATTGACTATGCAAAGGCATTTGACTGTGTAGATCACAACAAATTATGGCTAACCTTGAAGAGAATGGGAATCCCAGAACACTTTATTGTGCTTATGTGAAGAGTTGATGCCTTTGAGCTTTGGTGCTGGAGAAGAGTATTGAATATACCATGAAGAACAAACAAGATAATCATAGAGAGGGTGAAGCCAGGCTGCACCTTGGAGGAAAGAATTCTGAAGCTTCATCGGACATACTTTGAACATGTTGCAAGGCGGGATTAGTCCTTGGAGAGGGATGTCATGCTTGGGAGCATGCAGAGTGGAGGATCCGTGTAGGAAAGGAAGACCCTCTATGAAATGGATTGATTTAGTCACTGGGATAATGAGGATAGGTGTGTCAGAGACAACAAGATTAAGAAGGGACAGAGCAGGATTTAGGGCTGTTGTACATAGGGTCGCTATGAGCCACAGGTGACTCAATGGCACAACAACAACAACATACTTGGGACAGGAAGCAGTCCTCAGAAGAAAGCAAAGAAACATTCCATGGAACAAAATCAGGAAAGGAGTGTCAGGGATTCATCCTGTCTCCATACCTTTTCAATCTGTATGAGGAACAGATCATTTGGGAGGCTGGACTTTATGAGGAGTCCAGTTGTTGTTATTGTTAGATTCCCTATAGAAGAGTATGGTTCATAGCTACCCTATGAACATATCTAAACCTTGTTCTATCATGTGCCATCCTCCTTCTATCTGTCATACTTGAGCCTATTGTTCCAGTCACTGTGTCAAACCATCTGATTGAATGCCTTCCTATCTTTTGCCACCTTTCCAAGCTTGATGTCTTTTTTTCCAAGGAATGGCCTCTCCTAACAACATGTCCAAAGTGTGTTAGCTAAAGTTCCACCATCCTCCTTCTAAGTAACACTCTGGTTGCACGGTCTCCAAGACACATTTATTTTTTTACAAACTTTGAGATAGTCAATACTCTTTTCCAATATTTCGATTCAAAAGAATCCATTTTTCTGTCATCATTATTGTTCAGTTCTTAGATGCATGGCAAATTATTGGAAAGACAATGGCTTGGATCTGGTGCACCTAAGTCTTTAAACTGACATCATTAATCCTTAGTTCCTTGACAGAAGAATTTCTCAGTACAACATGTCTTCTGATATCTTGGTTGCTGGTACCACGGGTGTTGCTTATGGGTCCAATTAAGTTGAAATAATTAACAAGTTCAAATCTTTTCTTCATCAATCATGATGTTACCTATGGATCCATTGGTGAGGATTTCTGACTTTTTTGTATTGAGATGTAATTGATATTGAAGGCTGTGTTTGCTAGCCTGTGTGTACCATAAGGTAGGCCTTGTAGTTTTGGTTCCATTTTATCCCTTAGGATCTTTATGGTTTGGGGCTTTGCCCCTAGGACTCTGATCCATCTTGAATTGATTTTTGTGTATGGTGTGAGATGTGGATCCTGCTTCAGCTTTCTGCAGGTAGTAGTCCAGTTTTCCCAGCGCCATTTGTTGTAGAGGTTGTTGTTTCCCCATTTGATAGGTTTTGTTTCCTTGTCAAATACTAGTTGACCATAGGTAGATGGGTAATATCTGGGTTCTTTATTTACTGGTCCATGTGTTTACCATTGTACCAGTGCCTTTTTGTTTTGGTTATTACAGCTTTGTAGTAGGTTTTGAAATGAAGATATGCTATGCATCCCACTTCACTTTTATTTTTCAGAGATACTTTGCTTATTGAAATTCTCTTTCCTTTCTACAAAAACTTGCTAATTGTCTTGTCTGTAACTTTGAAGAATGAATTTAGTATCTGTATTGGATTGCATTAAACATATAGATTGCTTTTAGTAGGATTGTAATTTACTTCTTATCCATGAACAGGGAACATTTTCCCATTTATTTAGATCTCTTAATGCTTCTTGCAGTAGTGTTTTGTAGTTTTGTTTAATAAAGGTCTTTTGTGTCTCTGGTTAGGTTTATTCCCAATGATCTCAATTTGTGGTTGGCTATTATAAATGGTATCACTTTCTTAGTGTCCTTATGTGCTTTATAAGCACTGTTACTGTATAGAAATAACACTAATTTTTGTATATTGTGCTTGTATCCTGCAACTCTACTAAATTGGTCTATTAAGTCTAATTTTTTTTTCCCTTGGGGTTTTCTATGAACCCTATCATATCATCTGCATATAGTGACAGTTTTAGCACTTGTTTACTCATCTGGATGCCTCTCATTTTCTTGTTGTATTGCCTTAGCAAGTACCTCAAATACAATATTGAAGGTTATTGTTGTTGTTATGTTCCATCAAGACACTTGTTACTCATAGTGGTCCTATGTACAGTAGCTTTGAAACCTGCTTTATACTATGTCAACTTTACTGTCTCCAACACAGCTATCCTCATTACCCCAGTCACTGAATCAATCCATCTCATTTAGGGTCTGCCTCTCCTGTGCTGTCCCTCCACCCTTCCAGGCATGATGTCCCTCTCCAAGGACTGGTCCCTCCTTGCAATATGTCCACAGTATGTCCTTCTGCAGCAAGTGCTTCAGGTCCTCCCCAGTTCCAGCAAGCAAAGAGATTAGACTGTATGAGGAAGAATGTGGCATCAGGATTGTAGGAAAATTCATCAACAACCTGCATTATGCAGATGACACAATCCTGCTTGCTGGAACGGAGAACAATATTGAATAGGAATGGTGAAAGTGGATATCCTTATCTGAACCCTTTTTGCAAGGGAAATGCCTTTTTTTTTCTCCATTGAGAATGATGTTGAATCTTGGTTGTGTGTATATTGTTTTAGCAATGTTGAGAAAATTTCATTCTATTTCTATGTTGAACCATCCTTGCATACCTTTTTTAAATCACACTTGGTCATGATGAATTATTATTTTATGTACTGTTAGAGTCTTTTGTCCAGGCTTTTGCTAAGAATTACTAAATCTTTATTCATGAAAAATACTTGTCTTTATTTTTCTTTTTGGATGATGTCTTTGCCTGATTTTGGTAATAGGGTTATACTTGTGTCATAGAATGACTCTGGGAGTATTCCTTCTTTTCCTAAAAAAATAAAGTAGAATTTGTGATGTATTTTTTTTCTCTGAATATTTGGAATAATTCAGCTGTGAATCCATCTGAATCAGAACTTTTTTTTGAGGGGAATTATTTGTTTTTATGACATGCTTAATAGCTTCTTTTGTTATAGGTCTGTTCTCATGTTCTGTATCTATCTGTGTTGATATGGGTAGGGTGTAAGATTAAAGGTATGTATATTTTAAATATTTTTAAAAGGTATCTAGACACAAAATGATAGACTTAGAAAATACATAAAACAACAGTTAACGGACTTCAAGAAATAGATAGGAATTTGTCCATTTCCTCTAGACTTTCAAATTTACCAAAGTATTGCTTTTCATAATATACTATTATTGACTTGATTTACTCTGATTCTGTTGTCATGATACCTCTATCATTCCTTATTTGAGTTATTTGCATTCTTTGTGGATTAGATTCTAACCTTATTATCTTTGTTTTCTTTTGTTAAGTTGACCAATGGTCTTTCATCTACTCTTTTGAAGAACCAGCTCATGGTCTTGATGATTTCAATTGTTTTATTTTCTATCTCATTGAGTTCTACTCTCATCCTTATAATTTCCTTTCTTTTAGAAACTGAGTAGTTAGAATGAATGTTGTTCTTTTCCTATTTGGTGGAAGTACTGAAATAGGTCATTAATTTTGCTGCTTTCCCTTTTTATGTTTTTGCCTATGTACTACAGCTAAACACTACCTCAGCTGTATCTCAGAAGTTTTGACATGTTTTATTTTCATTATAATTTCTTTTGAGGAAATGTTTTATTTCATTTTTTAATTTCTTTTATAATGCAACGTTTTCTAGCAGGATATTATTTAGCATCCAAGTAGGTGGTTTTATAAGCTTTACGATTTTGTTTTTAATTTCTAGTTTTATGGCACCGTGGTCTGCGAAGGTACTTTATATTATTTCTGTATTTTTGTGCAGCAGGCCGACCGCAGCAGCAGGCTAGCCGTTTAAGATCATTGACGTCATTGCACATGCGTGGTCCGCACTTGCACACCGCCATTACAAGATGGCGCAGGCACCTTACTTCCTCATTGATTTACTAACGCACAAACAACACCATTTATGGCTGCAATATTGCTATTGGTCCATTGGACCTGGTTTAGAAAGACCTCAACACCAATGAGATTCTAAGACGTAAGAGCAGGAGGCGTGGAACCGAGAGGGATATAAGCAAGTGCCGGGGAAGAAGACGGGGCCATTTCACCATTTTCTTTTGTTCAATAAAGCTTCTGCAACGAATCCTGTTTGTCTGAGTCTTCTTCGGCTGCTGGCGGCGAAGTTGCACTCGGCATTTTTGAACTTGTGGAGGCTTGCTCTGTGTCCTAATGTATGATCAGCTCTGGAGAATTTTTCGGGTACACTTGAGAAGAAAGTAAATTGACTTTTATTTGGGTGCCATACCCTGAATACATCCACAAGATTGACTTGAATAATTGCATAGTTTATATTTCTTGCATCTTTGTTAAGTTTCTTTTGAGTTGACCTATCCTTTGGTGAGACTGGTATGTTAAAGTCTCTTACCAATACCAGATCACCCAGGAGGCTGGGCTGTATGAGGAGGAATGTGGCATCAGGATTGGAGGAAGATTCATCAATAACCTGAGTTATGCAGATGACACAACCCTGCTTGCTGAAACTGAGGAGAACCTGAAGGACTTGCTGCAAAAGGTCAAAGACTATAGCCTACAATATGGATTGAAGCTCAACATCAAGAAAACAAAGATTCTCACCACTGGGCCAATTGACAGCATTAGTATGAATGGTGATGAGAGAGAGATTGTTAACAGTTTTAGTTTTCTTGGTTTTACAATCAACACTTTTAGTACTGGCAGCCAGGAAATCAAGAGATGAATTGCATTGGGAAAGTTGGCTGTCAGGTACCTCTCTAGAGTACTGAAGAGCAATGACATCAATCTGGAGACTAAGGTGTGCCCAATCAAGGCCATAGTCTTCACAATTGCATGCTATGTGTTGGAGAGCTGGACAGTGACTAGGGATGATAGAAAAAGAATTGATGCCTTTGAGCTGTGGTCCTGGAGAAGTATTGAATATACCATGTACTGCTAGGAGAACAAACAGGTTTGTCCTGGAGATGGTGAAACCAGGCTGCTCCTTGGAGGCAACATGCTTTGGGCATGTTGCAAAGAGGGACCAGTCCTTGAAGATGGACATCATGTTTGAGAGGATGAAGGGACAGTGCAAGAGAGGAAGACCTTTGATGAGATGAATCGATTCAGTGATTGGGTTAATGGGTGTAGGTGTGTCAGAGACAATGAGGTTGGCACAAGATAGAGCAGGGTTTAGGCCTCTTGTAAATAGGGTCAGTATGAGTCACAACCACTCGATAGCACATAACAAAACAATATTTCTGGAAGTCTGAGTCTGCTAAATATTGTTTTATGTATTTTGGAAGTTTATCATTAGGTACCTAGGTGGTTTAAAAAAAATTAATTGTGGTCTTAACGAACATTTACAGAGAAGTAAATATTTTTATTCATTCATTGTTGTGCATTTTACCCCCTCACCCTCCCAAAACCTTCCCTCAGATTTTTTTAATATTCATTTCACATTCCAAAAACTAGTGTCTGCTTATAGCTGTTCCTTCTTCTCTGTGTTTTCATTTCTAAGATCTCAGTCTCAATTGCTATGTCTGCTAGTCCAAGTGATAGTCTAAATGTGCTCTATTGTGCAAAGGGTTTTCGAAGGCCTGTCATTTTGGAAGTGGATAGCCAATCCTTCCTAGTCTGTCTCATTTTTTAAATATATATAATAGTATCCAACAGACAAGCATATTTCATTGGGAAAATCAGCTGTGATGGACCTCCCAAGAGTACTGAAGAGCAACGACATCAGGCTGGAGACTGAGATGCGCCTGATCCAGGCTATAATCTTCACAATTCTATGCATTGGAGAGTTGCACAGTGAATAGGGATGATAGGAGAATTGATGCCTTTGAGCTGTGGTGCTGGAGAAGAGTGTTGAATATACCATGGACTGCTAGGAGAACAAACAGGTTTGTCCTGGAGAAGGTGAAGCCGGAATGCTCCTTCAAGTCAAGGATTTTGAAACTTTGTGGGACATACTTTGGGCATGTTTGAAGGAGGGACTGGTGCTTGGAGAGGGACATCATGTTTGGCAGAGTGGAGGGGCGGCACAGGAGAGGAAGACCTTCAATGAGATGGATCGATTCTGTGAGTGGAGTGGTGGGAATGAGTGTGTTTGAGATGGTGAGGTTGGCACAGGATAGAACGGCGTTTAGGGATCTTGTACATAGGGTTGCGGGTGACTCGACGGCACATAACAACAACAACAACAACAACAACATAGGGTTGCTATGAGTCACAAGTGACTTGATGGCACATAACAATAACAACAATATTCATTCATTGTAAAACAATTACCTCCCCTCCCCCATTTCTCTTTGCAATGTTCTGTTATTCTGGGCTGTTCTGAGTGAGTATAATTTCTAATCATTTATTCATTTTAGACGGTTTCTTCTTTTGTGCCTTCTTGATATATTGTGCCTTTAATCATAGTATAATAGTACCCTTTCTTATCTTTTATAGTGGTTTTCATCCTGAAGTCTGTTTTATCAGAGATTGGTATTGCCACTTTTGCTTTTTTGGGGGTGTCATTTGCTCGACACATTTTCCCCTCCAATCTTTGATCTTTATCTTTTTCATCTTTTTTCCTTGTTTCTAAGATGTTTTTCTTATATTCAGCATATTGATGGACTTTGGTGTTTTGGTTTTGGTTTTTTTTATCCTTTCTGCTACTCTTTTTCTATTGATTGGTACATTTTATCCATTTACAGTAAGAATGATTATTTGTGGATGAAGACATTCTTTTAAATCCTCAACACTGGGCCAATAAACAAAATTGAGTTGGAAGAAAAATCTTAGGCAAGAATTAAATTTTATTTGGATCTACTATCAATGTCCAAAGAAGCAGTAGTCAAGAAGGCAAAAGACATATTGCAATGGGCTCCTTTATTATAAAGAGCAAGGATTATAGTTTAAAGACTAAGGGGTACCTGCTCCAAGTAATAGTATTTTTAATTGTTTTTTATGTATGTGATGATTGGATAATGAATTAGGAAGACTGGAGTAAATGAGATGTCTTCTAATTGCACTCTTGGCAAAGAGTATTGAATATACCTTAGACTGTCAAAGTGTGTGTGTGTGTGTGTGTGTGTGTGTGTGTGTGAGATCTGCAGTGAAGGAAGTGTAGCCAGAGTGTGCTAGTCCCTGGAAAGGGACGTCATGCTTGGAAAAGTAAAGAATCAGAAAAGGAGAACATGACCCTCAATGAGATAGATCAACACAGTAACATTTATGGATTTGAGCAAAGTGGAGCTTGTTATGAGAGCTCAGGATTGGTTATAGTTTCAAGCTGTTATACATAGAGTCTTTATGAGTAGGAGTCAATTTGATTACACAAAACAACATGTATAGAGTGATACTGTAAATGAATAAAAGAATAATAGCCATGTTAAAAGAGATGTGAAGAAGTAATTAGGATAACCCTGTTATATTGTACCTGTACTACCCATTAAGCTATAAAGAACTGTTTTAAAATGGATGTAAATTATGTATTTATATAGCATTATCATCGACTCAGCATCAAGAAAACCAAGATTCTCGCCACTGGGCCGATTAGCAGAATCATGATAGATGATTAAGAGATTGACATTGTCAACAGCTTCACTTTGCTTGTTTCCATAATCAGCACTCTTGGTACCAACAGCCAGAAAATAAAAAGACAAATTGCACTGGGAAAAACTGCTGTCAAGGACCTCTCCAGAGTACTGAAGAGCAATAACGTCAGTCTAGAGACTAAGAAGTGCTTGATCCAAACCATGGTCTTCACTATTACTTGCTACGCATCAGAGGGCTGGGTAATGGTTAAGGATAATAGAAGAATCATTGATGCCTTTGAGTTGTGGTGTTGGATAAGAGTATTGAATATACCATGGACTGCTAAGAGAACAAACAGATCCTCCTAGAGAGGGTGGAAACAGTCTGCTCTTTGGAGGCAAGGATTTTGAAGCTCCCTCTGACATACTTTGGGCACAAGGCCAGGAGGGACCAGTCCTTTGAGAAAAGTATCATGCTTGAAAAAATGGAGGGATATTGCAAGAGTAGAAGACCCTGGATGAGGTAGATTGACTTAGAAAGTGGGGTAAAGGGTGTAGGTGTATCAGAGACAATGAAATTGGCTCAGGATAGAGCAGGGTTCAGAGCTGTTGTACATAGGTAACATAAGTTACATGCAACTCCACAGTATGTAACAATATGAGCAACATATTTCAAACACAACAGTAAGTAACCACTAAAAAATTTTTAATTGTAGATAATAAGAGAGGAGAAAAAAATTAATTCATAGTATTTTTAGTCAGAATCAGGGAAGAAGGGGCAGAAGACTGTTCAATAAAGTAAAAAGTGACTGCATAGAATAGAAAAGAGTCACACACATAGTAGATATAAATGCAGTTCTATCAATAATTTCTTTAAATGTGAATGGTCTAAACACATCAACTAGAAGTGTCTGTCAGAATGGATTAAAACAGTACTCAACTATCCATTGTTTATGAGAAATCTACTTTAAATATATTAGAGACATATTGATCAAAGGTATAAAATGCAGTGTCATGTTAACACTTTAAAAAAGTAGAGAAAAAAAGAAAGTGGAGTAGCTATACTAATCTCAGAGGAAGAAAACTACAGAACAAGCAAATTTATCATGTGTAAAGAAGGGTATTACAGAATGATAAAGGAGTCAATTTTCCAAGAAAATATGATGACCCTTAATGAGTTTGTAGCTAACAACAGACATCAAAATACATGAGGCTAAAGTTGATAGAAATGCAAGGAGAAATAGACAAACAGACTATTATAATTGGAAACTTTAACACCCGTCTATCAGTAATTGACAGATCCAGCAGGCAGAAA